TGCTGATGGTCAATATTATCACTATTACTTTGCAAGATTGTGTCATCTCATATTATGCACTGCTTTATAGAAACTGATTGCTTTAGAGCCAAAGATATCTCAATGTGACTTGGTGATAAAGTTCTTCAAGGCAGAGCCAGAAGATGTTGATATCCCAACAGAGTATGTCTTCTTTCATAAGTCAATATATTAAAACATCAATGTACATTGAATTGAAGTCAGTTGAGTAGAAAAGACCTCAGTGTCAGGGAGCACCCACATCTTTAATTTGATATTGACTCCTTCCATGCCTGCTAAACCATTGATTCAAGTTAGGTATGTTTTAAATGGCTGTTTGTACTGAGAACCTCATTACTTAAGTCTTTGAAGCAAATGTCCATGTTGTAATGTTTTCAAGCAGGGCAGACAAATTGCATCTACAACAATGGAGAGTTTTCACTTTTATGACAACAAAAACAGTTGGAAAGGAGTCTAGTTAAAATTTAGCGAGAATTTTGTTAATTGACCGTAACAATTTTAATAATGAATAAGTTAATATATATTTCAGAAAGAAGAAAGAAAAGAAAAAAGACACAGGTGAGAGCCTTGAACCTTAAATATTTTCCATTGTTATATGACCAGTCCATACTGCAAGTGTCTGTTCTGAAAGTCAATGATGATAAGTTGTAAAGGCCCTGTTACACTTTGCAACTTTCTCAGCAACTTGTCTCACAAAGCCATTGCGACACAAGTTGCTGTAACTTTTTTCTTCTGGGTACGGTAATAGAACACAGTTCTCTTTTTGCAATTCATTGCAGTAACTTGCACAAGTTGCTGAAGAATTTCAATGCGCAACATGGGTCGTCTTGTCACTTTTTTCTTCTGGGTGCGGTAATAGAACACAGAGCTCTTTTCGTAATACATTGCAGTAATGTGCAACACATTGCACAGTGTAATTCCAGCAACATTTGCAATTTTGGAGTCACATACTCAGTATGCATGTGCAATTTCTCATTTGGATTGTCCACCATCTTGATTCTGGATCACAGCTTACCTTGGCCTAAAAATATTGCAATTTGCTGAGGAAAATCACAAAGTCAGCATCTAAGTGTTTGTAAATCTTATTTTGTAATAATAAAAACTATGTTATTTTCAGCTGATGTGATATCAGATCCCATATCCCTGGAGCAATATGTTGCCATCGCAGACTACAAAAAGCAAAATCGCAATGAAATTAATATGGTAGCTGGGGATGTAATTGAGGTCATTGATAAGAATGAGAATGGTTAGTATTATGGTAAAAAAACTCTTACCRACAAACAATTACTARTAAAAGTATTATTAGTAGTAAAAWGTTGGTGGCTGAAATCAKAATGTCCAAAAAATGGGGATACAGAATGGCTGAGAGCATAATAGAAAATAAGAAAAAAGCAGTAAGCCCTGAAGCCTCTCCCATCTCAATCATTCTAATCTCACTTCTATTTCATTGGCTATACCTACTGAAAATAGTGTATTTAAGCAATAAACGACAGCTTGACGCGGTTTACTGGTGAAATAAAACTCTCAGGATGGTTGGAGAGAACATGAGAAAAGATCTGTAAATCACAAGCAGTCAGACGAGTGATTTACCTTTTCGAGTTTCAGACTTCTTTTCGGATTTGTCATGAAATCCGCCAATCAGCGCTTGTGTTAGAATTGAGCTATAATATAAAACTTAATTCTATAGGCTGGTGGTTCGTTAATCTTGATGAAGAACAGGGCTGGGTACCTGCAGCTTATCTTGAAACTGTGGACGGACAGACAGATGAAATGACTTGTACTGAAGTCACATCACTAGAAGGTATTACATTAATCTAATTCATGGTCCATTATCAGACATTTTGGATATTTGCAGTTAGCTATGCGTTTAGGATAAAATACTTTTCAGGTTATGATTTTATTGTCCAGTCACGTTGTTTCCAGGTAACCAGTTCATCACATCGACTGCCCACAAGGCCGAGCTGGACGATGAAGTGAGCTTTGAAAGAGGCGTTATTGTGACCGTTTTAAGAAAGAATTTTGATGGCTGGTGGTTAATAAGGTATTGATGAGCAGTTATGTTAACCCTAAAGAAACGAAAAACATGACCATGGAAGCACTAGCATTCCTAGTGCTATACAGGGGCGTAGTGTAGTCAGTTTGGAACGTACCCACTCCGTATTACCTCCAAAACTCTGCTAAAATGTAGCGTATTTCCGTATGTTTTAAGTACAAAATAGACTCTGAACACAAAAAAGATGTTTTCTTTTCTTTCATTGATATTATTTTTGAGATTTATGATTTGGGATTTATAATTTATGATTGTAAATGCAAAAATATGTGGAAAAGCAATTTCTCAAAATTTGAAACTGATTTAGCACCACAAGTGCGCACGTGTCTTCGGCCTTGTCACTGGATCTACTAAGCAAATCCAAGCAATGTAAATCAGGTCCTTTCCTTCCCAGTTTACACAAGCTCCTTGTTTGACTTTTTTCTAGCTATCAAAACAAAGAGGGTTGGGCACCAGCAATGTACCTCAAAAAACCCGACCCAATGCAGCTACGAGCAGCGGAAATGGGTGGGGGTCTACCGAAGATGGAACCAACCAAACCTGTCATGCAGCAACGTACAACTAGTGTAGGTAAGTGTTAAATCACTTTTCAAAGTATATTGACTGTTACCGTCTTGCATCGTGCGGGTCACCGATAAATTTCCCGGTGTTGTTCATTTGTGTTTCCATCGTTTCAGAAAGGAACCGAAATGATTTCATGTTTATTTATTTATTTTATTGTTATTCGCTCAGCGATTGGTCCAAGAGTGTGGAATGTTTCGCCCGTTAACGCACGCTCGATACTGAGCAGAGAAGGCACTGCGATTGGGTTTGCCTTAAAAAAACAACATGGCGGAATCGGAACACACAATAGTTAACTTTTACTAAAAACAGGCGCCTTGTAATGCATTGCGGGAGTAAATTTACCCTTGATTCATATGTTTGATTTGTTTTCATACCCCCTGATTCATTTGTTTGATTCTTAAAAGGTAACAAGGGAAGGAAGATACCTCCTCGAAAAGCTTCTGTGAGTTTTTACCATACTTGTCGCCATCATTGTTGTTTTAACGAATAAGTAGCGCTGGTGTTTTCGAAGGAAATAGTACGACCGCAATGCACTGTTGCCATTAAACCGGCTCCACGTTTTATGCACTACAAAATTTCAATTATAAACTTTGTTTCCATTGAGTTCTTGAGATCTCCCTCTATGAACCATGTACATAGGCATTTTGAAACCACGGTGAAGGAACCACTAACAATGCATTTCGGTCTTGAAATACACTATCTTTAGTCATTCAACGTTTTCAGAATCAACTCTTTATCTGAAACTTTATGAATGATTGTTTTGTTTTTTGTGTGTTTTGCAGGTTAAGCGTTCAATCAAAAAACCGGTTGCAATCACCAATCGGGCTTACGAGAAGTCATTTGAACCTGTCAAGGAATGTAAACTAGTACGACCAGAAGCCGAATACTTCACTCTTAGTGAGTTTCGAGCTATTGGGATTCAATCAGGTCTCGACTTTGACCCGGGAGAAGCTATAGAAGTTATGGAGAAGKCGCCGAATGGTTGGTGGTTTGGGAAAATTGGCGGACACGAAGGATGGATTCCATCTTCCTACATTGGTAAACGTGAAAAGAGCAACAAAGAATCCTCGAATAATTCGACGCCTCGAAGACCTGAACCACCCAAAGCAGATAGTAAGCCTAACAAGGGTGGGTTTCAAAATGATCTTGCTTCAGCCCTTGGCGCAGTTTCTTTGAGGAAGTCCACTGTGATACAGGACAATAAAAAAGACTTGTTTATCGCTGTTGCTTCCTTTGAAGACAGCGCGGAAGGAGTTTTGTCACTTAAAGAAGGTGATGTTGTAGAAGTTGTCGACCAAAGCGAAGGAGAATGGTGGCTTGTTAAATTTAACGATGCCGAGAGCTGGTTTCCTTCGAGTTATTTGAAACGACACGATGGTGCAGTGGAAAACCGGTCAAAACCGGTTATCACTAAACCTAAACCACCTCAGAAGCCGAATACCAAACCGTCACCACCCGCGTTAAAACACAGATACGACAAACCTGCTTTTCCTGCAAAACCGGTTGTTAACGATGATCATAAACAAACTAAGGTTCCTGTGCATAAATACGATAAACCTGCTTTTCCTGCCAAACCAGTTCTGAAGGGAGATCMAAATCAAGCCAAGAACTCGCCTGCAGAACCGCAAAAGAAGATTGGAAAACTGAACACCGCTATGTTTGAAAGTAAAATTCCTCTTGGTCAGGGTCCTCAGCAGCATCATAATGACATTAAAACGGCWTCAAAACCAGTTGTGACTTCTACCAAACCAGTTTTAACCGATAAAAYTTGTGTYGCTATCGCATCKTTCACTAGYGACGATGACAGTGGAGTGAGCTTTTCTCWAGGGGAAACATTTCAATTTCTTGAAGATTCTGGGTCTGGTTGGTGGTTGGTGAAGACAAATCAAGGACAGGAGAAATGGGYTCCGGCWAGTTACCTCGAAATGAAAAAATCAGACAATACAAGTGAATGCAACAAAAGACAACGGCGGGAACCTCCACCTCCACCATCCACAAAACAAACAAGTTCAAAACCTGTTAAACCGGTTCCTCCAAAACCTGCTAAACGTGATGTTCAWAAACCTCCTAGACCAAGTCCTCCTAAGAAGCCTGGCGCACCTTCGAAACAGTTGTGTGTTGCAATAGCCACATTTGCTGATGACGACGAGGGCTCRGTTAGTTTTCAGGAGGGKGACACACTAGAAGTTTTGGAACAGAACGAGGGAGGTTGGTGGTACGTGAAGACTGGGAACGAAATGCGTGGATGGGCGCCATCGAACTTTCTTCGTCCAATGTGAATTTGCGTCGAGTAAATTAATCTTATAATTCATAAATCTCAACGTTTTCTGCCCAGTCATTTTGGATATGTATAGAACACCCACAAAAGTTAAATTCAACACAAATTTATTATTACATCCAAAAACCGTAGATATACATAGATACATTATATATAGCCTAAATTATTTCATTGTAACTCGTGTTTTAATTTTTTGTATTATGATGTCAATAGCAAATAGGAAACTATATTTTTGAAAAATATTCTCTCACTTCAATAAATCACCATGTCTTTATTATGAATTGAAACAGTGATTTTTTTGTTAGTTCACTATAACTAAACCTCTATCCCAGCTGTTATCTGAGCGGTGACGCTGAGCTATTTCTCCTTATAGAAGAAAGCCAGAGGGTGACACTGATAACATCTGGAAGTCTGCGACTGAAATACTTTATTAATCGTCATTTCTGCTCACTTGGAAAGAAACTGGGTATTTTTGCTTTTTTGGAAAGAAACTATCGAACTACAACAGAAGAGACTCCTTTTTATCAGTGCGAATCATTTCAGTCGATATTTCATTGGTAATTTCAAGTTAGTGTTTCACATATGTGTCCATGCAAGCAGTAGCGTTAGCCTGAGGGACAACGAAGAATCCCATTGCCAGAGGAGGAATGGAGATGCGATCAGAAGTTATTTGCTTTGGTTCGAGACTTGGTAGCGTCTTGTCGTCAACGAGTTTTAGAACTTTACCATTTAGCGAAACGAATCTGAAGGAAATATTGTAAATAAAAAACTCACCATATGGAAACCCCATTCGGACACCCGGTTATTACGGACACTTAATGATACTGAAAGTAACTCCCTTTACAGCGAACACCGGCTATTCAGGACACTATTATAATGGGCACTTATTATACTGAAAATAACTCCCTTTATATTGCAGACACTCATTATTGCGGGCACTTCATTACGGCCCATTCGTAATATACTCACTGTGATGTAGGTTCTCCGTTAGAGGGGGTTAGTAGATATTGGTCGACTTTTAATCCTTGTAAGCCCTCTGTAAGGCAGAACGTTGCTTCTTTTGACGGGTCGATGTTCATTGCCATAACTGTAATTGCACCAGGGCTGTAGTGACTGTAAAACAATAATGTACTGAATGAAATACCAAAAATGGTCCCTGGAACCTTATTTCCTGTCTGCGAGGAGGAAATGGGAGCGAGATTAAAATATTTTTGATCTTGCGCAGTGACTTCATTGCGCATTGAGCTAACTTGTTTCAAAAATGCATCACTTTTTGTCTTTCTTCACTTGATGTACATGTGTATTGCGCTTGCAAACACTGGAAAAAATCGCGCGCTTTAAAGGTTGTAAATTTGATGTAAATATGATGTGGAAATGGAAATCATTAACATCAAATTTACAGAATTTTGGACACTTACATCATATTTGCATCAAATTTACAACCTTTAAAGCGCGCGATTTTTTCCAGTGAAATTAGCGTACACCTGTGATAATGCGATCATTACCTAAGGTAGTGGTTCGTACAATGAGCATACACCCTGAGAACTCTTCCGCTCTCCAGACCTTTATCCACCTCCAGCACTTCAGTACCCACAAGACGTTTATACAACACCGATAGCCAGTAATCCTTCAGAAATAGCCACTAATTAGTCACATACGTAAAGTTATCAGATTACGGTATTGGTGTAGCTTCCTGCGCAAGATAGGAAGTTCTTATACTCCTCATATTTTATTCTTTCGGCTTATTCATTTTATACAAAGAAAGCCCGTGTCTTTTCTTGAGGAGGCTCTATGTCCTGGTAAAAGGTTGCAGCATGTAAAATAATGGAAAAAATCATGGAGATATTTTTAGAGGATTTTGTAAAAAAAGCAACAAATAAAAAAAAAAAAACACAAAAAAGCAACAACAAGCACACCGCACTGAGGCAAAGGGATTTCCTCTGGGCTGTTCGCGTTTAGACTTCAATAAATATTGTTGAGACTTCGTTCAAGTTAAAATGGCAATCAAGTAGAACGCACTAGGGATTTTCCTACTCACAGGGTTGGGGTTCATGTCARAATCGAGCAGAGCATATCGACCACCAAAKARGGTCTGTCTGATGACGATATCTTCGTTYAAACGAGCTGAAAGTCCAAGCTTATCGAGCCACCTTGAAAAAGAAAAATCAATCGTCAAAGCAACAAAGGGTATAAGGAAGTGGTTACACACTTGGCCTTGCCTTGCTTCTGATTCATCGTTCTTATCATATAGGAGGACTAACCACTATGTTCTTATCTCAACGTGAGAGTAGGCAAACAATCCAACGTACATGAGGAGGGGAAGACTTTTTAAGGGCTCATTTAAATCATTATAAAGTCCCTTCCCTTGGGCGGGGCTCATTACTCTTCAAGATTACCGAGTCAGGAGAAACAAGTTATTGAAGAAAGAGGACTACAAAGGAAAAGAAGGCCACCGTTTGCGCGATAACTCAAATCATCGCCATTGGAAAAATATATATTTACATAAATCCAGCGACATATCTGTCAGACAAGCCACGCGCACCCCCGCCATATGCACTACTTGTTTCGCCTATCCAAGGTTTAGTGTTTGGAGGGGTCGTGGAAACGACGATGTCGCTGACTTCCTTCAACTGCGCCACTAGACCATCAAGTATAGTTGCCTTGTAGAAGTCTTCAATCTTAGCAGTTCGGCCGTTTACGTAATAACTGAAAAATTAAATTAAAATTAAGTAATGTTCAAAAATATTCTTCTACTAAATATAGCTACTTACTGATGCCAAGTAACCGCATTAACAACATCTCCGCCACTTTCTAGAAACCTGTTTTTTTTTAAATAACGTTGTTAGATATAACCAAGACAATTACGAACATCGAAAATCACATAGTCGAGTACTTAAAACATTGATGCGCAACATTTTGTCGTAGCAATTTAGCGGCAAATGCGTCAAATTACGTACCAACTTGTTTCGCTAAACTAAAATGATTTGCCGCAAGTAGAAGACTGAAAGCTGGTTGCAGAAACTGAATTAGGCCCATTCACTACTTTGCGCTTGCGCAAACAACTTTCTTCGCTTTCTATTACCAGCGCACACATTGATACCTAGAATAGGGCTGATGCGTTTTCGTAGAAGTTACGTCTTTGTGTCGTACGTATCAGTATGAACAATTCACAAACGTTACGAACATGCATTGTGTACGAGGGCGTACATACTCTTTTAGGTAGTCCTTCGCTGTCTGATCTTCTAGTGCGTTGGCGTCTGGTCCAACAATTATTGTTCCAAGTGATGGATCATTGTGAAGTATTTCTCTTAATTTACTGAAATCCTTTCCAAGTTGAGGAGCTGTCATGTTTCTCCCGAATTTGCTCAAATGATTGGGCTCTGAGACGCAATAGAATCAATTAGATGAAATAAAAAATACAAGAGCATGCAGACAAAGGAGTAAAAGTTAATAGATGAAGAGGAACAGAAATGATTGCTTGTCAAAGCATTGAAGGAAAAGGAAAGAAAGTCCACAAATAGGGATTACACATCTAAAACTTCGGGACCTTCAGCCGGTCCGCCCCACTTCTAGTCTCCTTCGCAGCCTGCTGAGTTTCTGACCGACCCAGTGACCCTATCAAATATCAGTTATCAACAGGTAATCAGATTAAAACCTGTTTAAACGCAATGGGACAATATTCTCACCCAATCAGCAATATCATGCAATATTCTTGAAGTGATTTTTGTGCTCTAATTTTCTGATATAAGGAACTAAAAGCAATTTCTTTCATAGGTTGATGACCGACAAATTCGATTACCGATCGATCTCGAATAGGTCCGAATGATTATAAAATACAGCGTCCTAAAGATATGAGCTCATGAATTTGGCTTCAAGAAATGACGAGTATGAAAATGAATGGATGAAAGAATGAATAAATAAAATCAGAGAGTATTAATTTACCATTTCCAAGCTGCCAAGCAAAGTTATATCCTTTCTCTCTAACGTAGTGCATGATCTCAAGTGGATTGGTTGGATCCCACGAGCCATTTTTACTTCTTTTTAGTACATTTAAATCAAAGACTACATCCCAGCCTCCCTTGGACGCAATCTCATGAACTTTATCCAAATCAGTTTTTGAGATAGTGAAGTTCATTTCACTGTCTAAGTTTTCTTCCATCGCGGGATCGTCAAAGAATCCTTCGTCTCCATGACTTAATTTTTGATTTGAGCCGTTATTGTCGAATGTCAAGAAATCTGCAGCTGTTCCACCAATTCGTAGATACGCAGGCTGTAATCCTTTCGCAAGAGTTGTGAGCTTGTCGCAGACTTTCAAACCGTACCAGTCATGCCTTAGTAAGTTTGTGTCAATAGCGATGGAAAGAAACCGTTTATCTACGGTGGAAACGGCTTTTTCTGTATTTATCTGAAAAGATTGGATACCCAGAGAGACTGATATATACAGAAAACACAAAATAAAAACGCTTAAAACAGAATTGCCAGTCATTTTGAACTTGTATTTGAACTGACCCAAAGTGTTTCCGGTTGCGCACTGTTTCCTCAAAAAGACCCTCTCCGCGCAAAGCAGGCTGGGTAGCACATGGTCGTTCTCGTGTCAGCCATCTTGACCGGTGTGTTTCTTGAACGTTGCTGTATTCAATCATGTCGAAACGACGGTTAGATGTAAGTGGAAATGGTAATAATACTGCAAATAGTCCTATATCTACAGCTAAAAGGATAAAAGAGGAGCTAAGGTAAGAATGAAATGTCGAAAGCTTTAAAACATGTTTTGTCTGATTATCAAACTGTCATGCAAAGTGTGATGTGCTTCGTAATCAAGTTTTTAATGAACTTTYTTGCATTTTGAACGTATTAGAAGTYACTGGGTGGTTTTATGTATGTCTAGGACAATGTTATAATGATAAAATTGAGTGTTGTGCATTATTTGGTCTAATTTGTACAGTAACCCAAGTAATCTTCGAGGGAAGGTGAATCCCTACAATGGCCGACCTTTTACAGAACGGTACTTTGATATTTTAAAGAAGAGAATAGACTTGCCTGTYTGGGAATACCGGGAGGAGTTTATGGAAACTGTTAAAAGAAATAAGATTCTCGCTTTGGTGGGAGAAACGGGTTCAGGAAAAACTACACAGGTAAGAGGAATTTTAGGGATTTTTAGCTACTTACAGCGACATTTTTACAAATTTCCTTTAGTAGAAAATGAAAAGTCATGGCTAAGGATTATTTTTTGTGATGATGATGTTGATAATAACGACAATTATGAAATCAGTTGCAAAAAATATATAAATATATAAAAAATATTTAATCATTTCACTTATACTATTAAATTACATTTAAAATTAAAATTGTACAAATTAATTAAAAATGTTTATTGTAATATTTATATTGCTATTGTCTTCCAGTATCAGACTATATTAGTGCATTGAAAAGCAAAAAATATGGCATCCTTTTTACATGAGTCTTAAGAAATATGAAACAGCTGTGTATGTCTCTATTCTCTGATGTAACCCACAGTTGAAGATGCCGAGCACAAGAGAACCAAGCCAAAGCATACAGTGGCAGCATAGAAGACGGAGACACAAGCAGCTGTTTTGTGTTTTGTGAAATGTTTATGTCTCTTGTGGGTGCGCTGACAGTAATTACATCTTTGTTCTCAGATATAAACATGTTTTCAGCCAAAAATCACCTCAAAAATTTTATAAAAGCAATATAAAATCATGGCTTAACTATAATGGTAGTACGTGGAATTACTAATCAAGATAAGTAAATTATTATTAAACTGTTTTCAGATACCACAATGGTGCTTAGAAGTAAGGCAAGACAAAAGTAGAAAAGTAGCTTGTACTCAACCCAGACGAGTAGCTGCTATGAGTGTTGCTCAACGTGTTGCAGATGAATTAGATGTGGTTTTGGGTCAAGAAGTTGGTTATACTATAAGATTTGAGGATTGTACAGGTCCAAGGACAGCATTAAAGTAAGTGGAATTTTATAGAATATTATCATCCTTATAACTAGAGCGTAGACCAAGCGTTGTGAGTCCAATATTTTGATATTAAAACCTTAATGTTGTCAAAAGATTCAGTATAATGCACCCATCATATAACAGGGAGGCATGGTATACATAAAGCAACATCAATACTCCGATTTCGAGTTCTGTTTTGCTCTGTGTTAGCCTCAAAACCAAGTAACATATTCTTTTGTTTCACTGATAGCTCGAAAAACCGCATGGAATTTGTGAAGAAAGACAATAAATTTGATTTGAAATCTCACACTTTTACGCTCACAATAAGGAATATTTTGCGCACAAATGAGGCTAACACAGAGCATTGGAGAATTCGAAACTGGAGTATAGGCCATCAGTTCTCCAAACTGTTATGTATGAAACTCTAAAATAAAGTTCCATTTAGGGTTTTCTCTAAATTTGGAAGTAGGTGGCTGTTCTGAAAAAGTACCCTATGTRAATCAGAAAAGGGCACTATTGTTACAACAGCAATTGGCAAAATAATCCTTGCCTACTGTATTGTATTGTGATGGCTATAAAACATGCTTATTCTTGTTACAGGTACATGACAGATGGTATGTTGTTGCGTGAAGCTATGACGGACCCGTTATTAGAACGTTATGCTGTCATACTTCTTGATGAAGCTCACGAGAGAACATTAGCAACAGACATACTAATGGGAYTACTGAAAGAGGTGAGATATGTCTCATTGTATTTCAATGATTGAAGAAAGAAAAAATCAATGAATGTTGTATTTACTTTGAAAAATGAAATGTTTTTTTGTGTGCGAGTTTTTGTTGACAAACTGGTTTTAATTGTAACTCTTGAGACTTTAATCAAGTTTGCATGTCAAAATAAACTACAATATACAACACAATCATTCTAGGTGGTCACAGTTTTGCAATTCATACTGTAAGAGAAACAGGCTTATTTATTGCATTCTTTTCTTCACATAACTAGGTTGTCAAACAGAGACATGATCTGAAGATCATCATCATGAGTGCTACACTTGATGCAGGCAAGTTCCAGGAATACTTTGACAACTGTCCACTGATGAAAATTCCTGGTCGAACACACCCTGTAGAGATCTTTTACACGCCACAGCCAGAAAGAGACTATCTAGAGGCAGCTATCCGTACAGTWATCCAGATACACATGTGTGAGGACATTGCTGGGGATATTTTACTTTTTCTGACTGGACAAGAGGTACAATGCTTAAAGATTGTTTCTTTTATCCTTTCATTTCATTGTAACCAGGTGGAAATTGATGGATTTAGTAGTTGTTTGCTGTAGGATCGATATAAGTTGTTGGAAAAAACATAACACACAGGTCACAAAAGTAACACGCAACCAAACACGACCGAATCTGTAGCAGAACTGATTTACTTGCGTAAAAAGCGTGTGTTACAAACGTGATCGCTCACACAATTTTCAAAATATGGATGTCACATAATCTTGACCTTGTCACACCATGCTCAGATCTAATCACTTTTTGTGCTTAATACAAACTTCCTTTGCAACATGGCATTCTAAAGTGTAACATTTGCTCTTTATCATTCACCACATGATGAATCTTCATCAGTACAAAAATCTTTAAACTAATAAATAATTGATTAATAATGTTTATCAATGAATGATGATTAATTTGACAGGAAATTGAAGAAGCTTGTAAAAGAATAAAGAAAGAAGTAGACAATCATGGTACAGAAATTGGTGAAATGAAATGCATTCCTTTGTACTCCACTCTTCCTCCACAACAGCAGCAGCGTATCTTTGAATCAGCTCCTCCAAACAGACCAAACGGTGCCATTGGACGCAAGTGTGTAGTGGCAACYAACATTGCAGAGACTTCCTTAACAATTGATGGAGTTGTATTTGTGATTGATCCAGGTTTCTCTAAACAAAAAGTATGTTTTGAATCATTGGATGTTTATGTAAATTTAGTGTATAATAATGTAGACTGAAAAAAGAAAATCTTTGGTGCTTGAACATAATCACTCTTTTGAATCCCTGGAGAGCCTTGTTGATGGTATTTGAGTTGAAAAGACCTTGAAAATACAAAGATTTTAAAAAAACTATAGTATGTTTGTCATATATTTAAATTTTGATAGAAATAAGAGTGGTATTAAACAACATTGCTAGAAAACATTCAACAAGATTAAGTGAAAAATTAGTTTTCCTAAAACAAAAATGAATGCATATGCTTTAAAAGTGAGATCTGGTTTATGCTTCCTGGACAGTGATGGTGACTCCTCTTTTACTTGCTCAAAATGTGAAGATCAAATTGAGTTTTCAGTCTCTGTGTAAACCTACAATACTTTCATTTACTCCAAACCCCACATTAAAAAAAAACATGGACATTAATGACATTTTACACTATTTGTGTAGGTATACAATCCTCGTATYCGTGTGGAGTCACTGCTAGTTTCAGCTATTTCCATGGCTAGTGCYGAACAGCGTGCTGGTCGTGCTGGTCGTACTCGTCCAGGAAAGTGCTTTAGACTCTACACAGAGAAGGCCTACCAGACAGAAATGCCTAAGAATACCTATCCAGAAATCTTGCGCTCAAACCTTGGTACCGTTGTACTGCAGCTTAAGAAACTTGGTATTGACGACTTGGTGCATTTTGACTTCATGGACCCTCCAGGTACAGTTACAACTTACCTAGGGCTTTGTTTCTMTTAGGCTATTGTATTATAAGCAAGTTTATTTGTGATGATAGTGGGACAGGTCGAATGATGAATAGTGACTACTTTTCTTTCAATGCATTGCTTGTGGAATCATTTTTTCCCAAACGTACCTGTATCCTACAATGCAGATCTATTGTACAGTACATGTACAATCTTTATTATGATTACATGATACATCCATTCAACCATACATGTATATAGCTATTTCAAAAAAGGTTGTCAACTTACTGGCGAACGTCATTGATCGAACGTCGATTGCACGACCGAAAGGTAGCCATGGGTTTTGCTAGTTGAAAGGAAATAAGTGGTTTGTACTGTAAGATAGTCTGTGGCTAACTTGGTTCTATTCAGCCTCCATTTCTATGTAATGGGAATCCAATAATTGCAATTAAAAGTGTAATTAAAGTCTCTTTTGTTCATGCAATCTCCCTTCTACAATCACCGTTCGCTGTCCTCCACAACAAATAGCTGTATGATACTTAGATTTATACATATACTACAATGTTCATCCAAGTTGCCTTTGAACAAATAAATCAAAAGTGATGTTACATTGCATTGCAGCACCAGAAACTTTAATGCGTGCACTAGAGCTTCTAAACTACCTTGGTGCCTTGGATGACAATGGAGATTTGACAGAACTTGGCAATATGATGGCAGAGTTTCCACTAGATCCACAGCTTGCCAAAATGGTCATTGCTAGTTGCGAGTTTAATTGCTCAAATGAAATACTTTCAATCACGTC